TGTCAGTGTAAGTCACAGCTGAGCTTGTGCCTATCTCCTCTTCAATTTATATCCAATCTAAACCAGTTCTGGACCATAAGACAGACAAAATGTTTACTCAACAACCAATTAAACTTCACCCAGCTTCTTTTTTTCTCCAAAAAGTGAATTGTATAGTTTTGTGTCTGCAGATACTTGTTTCAATGATTTGCATGGTTTGAAAGTTACAGGATTCAGACTTCAACTTTGTAAAACTTGAGATGTAATTTTAGTGCAAGGCAATTTCTTCACGACTAAAGGCTGTTTTCAGCAAAATATTAATCTAACATTTGACTGAAATTTTGAACTGCTATTCATTTGCAAAATGTGTCAAAATTAGTGAGAGAAAATGCACCAAATATTTCAGGCATCAGTCTGAACGCCACAAATGTGATAAAACGGGCTCGATGGGCACTAAATGGCACAAGTAAGAGCAATTAATTCAAAAGTGAGAGAATGTAGAAGAAAACAAATACTAGCATGGACAGAAGATACTGAGATCCTTAGATGTTCACTTACATAACAGTAGTTTGCATGGATAATTTAATTTACCTGCTATGTTCTCGATGCCTGAGCCTTTTCTATTTTTAATAGCATTTCCAATTATCTGGCTTCATCTGTGTTCCACATGGAAAGAATTTAAAGAGGTTATTGCCTCCTGAAGTCTTGGGATTCAGAGCAGATGAAGATGAGAGAGAGGAAAAATAGAGTGCCTACGGGGTTTACAAGGCCTTCGTTTTACTTAACAGCACCAAAGATGTAGCTGTACCATGTGCCATTGCATGACATTAGCTCCAGGTTATTTCTAGAGAAAATATTCTCTTGGATGGTGCCTTCATGAGAGTGGGAAAAATAAAAAATAAATAAAACAACAACAGCAACATGAGATCTAATCATGATTCACTGATGAAACTGTTGACCACTGGCTATTTTTTTCCTTCTTGAACATTGTTAAGATTAAAATAAGAAACTAATAACTTACATACTTCAAATGGCTTAAAATATTTTCTCTAATATCTCGCAAAAGAGCTTTGTTTTCTCTCACTTAACCGATGGTAACGAGTAAACAATGATGGACAATGGTGATTTAATTTTAATGTATTGCACTTCATAGTTATTAAAATATGAATTATGGCTGCTAAATGCAATACAAAGATGCTG